TTTTCTTTTTACTTCCCCGCGAAAAAAAGAGGCAACGATCCAAGTTTGCGAAGCGGGAGACGCGCATCCACGGAGCGAGTCTTTGCACTTTCAGAGCTGCGACGCAGGAACAGCAGCGGCAGCAGCAGAGCGCAGATCCATCTGAAAGAAATAATTACATCATCAGCGGTGACAACAACATGAAGCCCAAAGACTGAGATGACAAAACGGGCAGGATGACGCACCGAACTCTCGTGTGGCTTTTGGGAACTCGAGTCAAACAACGCGGGCGCACGGCACACTCCGAGAGAGAAGTTCACACGTGTGCCAGTATTTTTGGTGCGTCATGATACCTGGCACGCTGATTTTCGACGGCGCAGAGCTGGGGAGGGGGTAGAGGGGAGGGGGGACGGACGTCTGGTTTCTCTCTGCCGTGCGCCGGGAGGAAGCCTCGGTGGGGTGGGCTGGGTGGGAGGAACACACCGACGACCGCCTCCGCTGGGATGGTTTGGTTCAGCTCCAGGAGATGCCACGACTCCGCTCCATCCGCATACGTCCTCCCAGGCGCGGAGAGAGAGAGAGAGAGAAAGAGAGGGAGAGATGGAGGGAGGAGAGGGTGGGGGCGGAGAGATAAGGGAAGGGAAGGGAGGGAGAGATTTGGCCGGCGGTGAGGAGGGATCACCAGCCACTCCCGCTCAGGGGGGTTTCGAGGAACTCCGGCTCAGTGGCTGAGCAGCTGGATGTCGCTGCCTCACAGGGTTTAAAGGTCGATCCGTGCGCGATGCGTCTTCACGTTATGAAACATGACATTCATTTTTGCTCCATGTCAGCCTGCTTTAATGTTCCTGAAAATATTCCTCAGTGGTCTGTTTTGTTTAGTTTTTTTGTATCCTCTGCTGCAAATATGAGCCAATATCTCAGTGGAGCCCATTCATATTTCATCTGATCTCATGCTAGAAGCCCTAATTAATCACAACAGCATGCACAAACTCTACAATTGTCTGGTTGCGGCAAAATGGGAGTGTTCATGGGATGTAAATTCCTGCCTCATTTTAGGGGATATAAATTGTCCCCTCCAGGTCTACAATCAAATGGTGGGGCCCCATTTCAGACAAACACCTACCAATTACCTGAACAGACATCAAACAAGCCCTAATAGTTGGGTGGAAGCCACGTATGATGGCAGTGTGGGTCTGCAGTGTGTAGGTTGATCAGCATCCCTCAAACTCCCCCAGGTACAATGTGATTGCATTGCCATGGAAACGCTATGGCCAGTTGATGTTTCTAACCTTGGGGGTCTTTTCCTGACTCCTACACAGCAGCACTGGAGTAAAGTTTGTTGTGCTGTTAAAAAAAGACTCAGTCAGAGGTCGACAAAGCGAACGCTGAGATTCTGTGTTTTCGTCTTGTTCTAGACAAGAAACAAGCTTTATGTGGAATTTTGTTAATTGATCGCGGCATCGCCCAGAAATCACCCAGACTTGTACAAATAATTCATGTTTCCTTCTCATATAATCATCCTGACAAGGGAAGCTAAACTCCTGTGTGCAGACAAAGCCGGTTTGAGTGACACTTCAGGGACTGAATGCTGATCTGTTGCACATTTTTTAATAGAATATGAGGATTTCGAGGCACAAAGCTGTTGGGATTTGCGAAACACATGTCTGATTTGCATAATTTCTCATCTTCCCAATTAACACAACTACTTGTTCAAGTATTAAGGTAAAACCAGACAAAATTCCTCATAGCAAAGGCATAAAATCCTAGAATATAACTGCACTAAGCAGCTTGGTATAGAAAGAATGAATAAAACAGCAAAACAATTACACATTGAAAAAAAACTATGAAGTGAATAAATCAGCTAATAAATAAACCTTGTCACAGTCCTCCAGGACAGATCACATCATGGCATCGTGGGGATTTCCATTAAAAGCAGCTAATTGGACAAAATCAGCCTGCTTTCAAATATCATGCGCTAACATCTGCTGCGGAGCTGCAACACATGGGGGAAGAGAGTGTGAAGAGGAAGGGAAGAGACAAGATGTATGGCAAGAAAAACACCTGCTATGTGGGAGAACTTAGCTCATGTATAAATTAACAGCTGGGGAGTATTACTTTCTTTTCACAGGAGTGCAGTTCAGAGCTGTTTGCAGGCACTAACTGCTCCGTGAGCCGGCGTCATGTTCTCCCTTAAGCCCACTGCTGAGGAGCTTCACTGTATTTTCATGAGCACCACTTCTGATGTTCCAAATGTTCCTAAACGTGTTCATTTGCAGCATTTAAATTGGAAGGTATCCATTAGCATCAGCTAGTTAACTACTTCTCATACAGAAAGCAATTTCTGAGCATCCAGAGCCAATTATTTTTTCCTTTTCCCCCCTTAATTTTATATTTTGAGCCTTTTATTTTTTGACATTTCAGCCTTTTATATGTATCACAGTTTCTTCATTTGTTTCAGCTGACACACACTGAGGTCCAAACGTCTGAGTGCACATCAAAAATCTCATATTTTCATGTAAATCTGCAAAATAATCAGTAAATTTACAAACATTTAAAAGCACACGTTCTCTTGACGTGTGAAGCAAAGAGAATATATTTAACATTCTGCACTATTTCTAGGTTAGCAGTTGAATGATGCAACTCTATGGCATTGACCATGTTATCTGCTTTGTTCAAAAAGTCAAATTTTCTTGAGTTACATTCTTCGCTTATGCACTCAGACAACATTCAGGTGGATGTTTCACTCATCAGATCCTTGTTCAAGTAAATCGACTTGGAGTCATTGTTTACATTGTAAAAATGTTCATAGAAAATACAGTAAAAACTGTGAAACAGCAAAACACAGTCGTGACCCGATAATCCGACCTTTAACAATCCGAAAACTTTGCTATCCGACAGGTTTTTTTTTTAGGTAAAACGAATGAAACACATGAAAAATCGCTTTAAAATACCAACAGCCTTGGATTCCGACTCCAACATGACATTTTATGTCACGAATAAGGATAACGGCGTATTATCTGACTTAACAATGCAACTCAGATTGGCTACGTTCAGACTGCAGGACTTGATGCTCAAATTGGATTTTTGTGAGTTCGTTCACATTAACAATTAAATACAACTTGTATGTGATCTGCTGTGTGAACTTTATACGACCCAGAAGTGTCCCGCATGCACAGAAGAGGACACGACGAGGTCACATGCCACAAGCGTGCTCAGAGTTTACAGAAATAAACACGGATGCGGCGGCAGCGCCACTCCCCCGCCGCCACCACTGATGATAAAAACAGAAGTGTGACCGCTGTCCTAAACAAGCATCAGCAGCCGAGTACCGCCTGTGTGTTCCGACCACTTCCACCCCGTCGGAGCAAAGTGTGATGGTATCTCCAGGGTTTATTGGACAGTGAAGACGATCATGTTGTCGACGTCTGGAGAGTCCATCAACAAGGCATTCAGAAGAAGTTTTGCAAAGATGCTCAGCTTCTTGCAGATGTTCTTGTGAATAACCTTGTTGAGTTTTTTTTCACCTGGTACTTGTAAAAGTCACAGCTCTCGCCCTGGACTTCAGCCCAGACTCTCTGAAATAGTCGCTGATAGACGGCGTAAAAGTTTTCAGAAAGTTGCAAAGTCAGCAACTCTACAAGTACATCAACACTAAACCTAAACTCTTCTGTTTCTGGGTCAGTCTCCAGCGCTGGTTCAGGGGCGTCCTTAACGACCTGATACGCTCCAAATGTGGAGCCGGAGCTCTCACCTTCCTCAGCCAGGCAGGTGACTGAAGAACATAAGACATGCCCTCCAGCGCTGGTTCAGGATTTCTATTTGTCTCCTCCCTGAGCTCCAAAACTGGAGACTGAGCTCTCATCTTCTTCAGAGTCTCAAAGGTAAGCAGCTCCAGAAAATCAGTGACAAGTTCTCATTTATCTTCCAGCTTGACTTGAAGCTCTTCCCACAGAAAGCTCTCCTCGGTGCCAGCCTCCACACGAAGGGCGGCTTCAGTGTCGACGGCCTCCACATCCTGCAGGCTGTGGACCTCCTGCTGATGAACACTGTCCTCCACAGTGGTGACTTCTGACTCCACCTCAGCTGTTCTGTCCTCCTCATCTTTAGTTTGGAGACCACTTTGAGAAGAAACTCTTGAACCCTTTTTGGATTTCAGAGTGTCCTTTAGTTGGATCCATGGCGGCTGTTCGAGTTCCACTTTGGAGATTTGTCATCTTGAAGGTTTTGACTCTGTCAGTCAGCAACTCAAACAAATGACGTGAGGTGTGGCAGCTGTGGTCAGTCTGTTTCCTATTTGTACTCGAGTTACCTGCACAGTGTGAGAGACTGACTTTTCCACCTTTTCTTTGAAAACTTTTTGCAGTAATGAACGAACAATGTCATCAAACTGTAACTGAACATGCACCAAATTCAATTTTAAAATCACTGAACTAATTGATAACATATTAATTACTGAAGCATTCTTTAATTGTGGCAAACTACCACATGTACTGTGTGTTTAACCAGTAATCAGCCTAATACCAAAAACCCCACTGAGATGATCCAAATATAATCTGAACTGTGAAGGGATCAGCTTTCTGAGCACAGTTTTAAAAACACCACCTCAACACAGTCTCACTCTGGTCCTCCTCCCTTCAAAGATTGGCTCATTATAGAAGCTGGTGCACTTATTTGAAGGCACCAACAGGTTTCATAATATATTTTAAACGACACACTAACACACAGCAACCAGTCTGTAGCAAGTGAGGATTGTTTTTAAAGCAATGCTGCCCTCTTGTGTCTTAGTAAAATCCAGTTCCTGTATATGAATAAACCTAGAATCTAGGAGAACAAAATAGCAAGAAAGTCATGTGTGTGGTTGGTAATAAAAGCTTAATAATGAAGCTGTAATGCAATCAAATAGTTGACAAAAAATCTAAACACCATCTGCTTGATCAGAAATACACAAAATAATCAGATTTCCTTCATTTGTCCACCATCTGGTGGCAAAATTAAATGAATAAACTCCATTGCAGCACATGTTATAGACATAGTTATTTATTGTAAACGTTTGGAAAGGCAGGGCTGAGTGAATACATGAACTAAACCTTGTGGCAAGAAGCTGTAACTGCATGAAAATTCAAATCTGGGGCCACTTTATTGCATGTCTTGTGACCAGGACCAGCTGAGACTGAGGATCACAACAAACGGTCAAATGACCCAAGTCTCCTCTGTTCAGCAGCAGTCACTTCAAGAAACTTAAAGACCTGAATTACTGGAACCTGGCAAGCAATGGGGGAAAAGTTAGCAGGGTATTTGTTTTCTTTTAACACTGGAATGTGGCCAGAAATTCAGAAGCATGCAAACTCAAAATGGATACAATAACTTCATGGTGTAAATTTACAGTATCTTAGCGCGTACATATGCAAACATGAAAAGTAAAGTGGCCAATATGGGAAGACAAGAGAGAGAGAGAGAGAGAGTGCAGCAAACTCTTCATTCTCCACTTTCACATCTACTGATATAACAATGACTTGCTCAGATGTGCAAACATTAAAAAAAAAAAAACAAGTGTCCAGGCATTTGGCCATAAACAGAAAACCCTTTTCTGTCGGTGTGAATGATAACAGCTAATGTTTGTGCAAGTTTATGACCAGACTGTTAAATTATTATTTCTGCAATCAGTGATTTGAAATGCAAATCAGATATGGCCTTTTGGACAAAAACAAACAAATGTACAGTCTATTATATATACAGTATTTACATATTGTTCAAAAGGAGTCACTTCTACTGCATACCTCACAAACCCTATTACACGTTCTGCGACAACAACTTGTTCATCATCAATCAGCAAGCAACCAAAAAAAAATAAGCTATATATCGTATGTAACTCACTATGACTCACCAGCAGCTTAACTTCGGTTTTTTTTTTTTTATATAAATATAAATATATTTTCTTTTCTTTGCAAATTCTTGCAGATGACAGATTAAGCAAATTAGCAATTTGGTACAAAATAAATATTTTTCTCTTTTATCTCCAAGCAGAGAAACACAGTGGAATGAAAATGCAAAAACAAAGGTTTGCTTATTCAAGATTGCACACAATTTTCCCCCTAAAAATAAAATGCACTTTTTTTTTTTTTTTAATAGGGGTCCACTGAACTATAGAACCATGAAGGATTTTTCGTACTAGTTTAATTTGCTGAATGCAAATGGAACAACCTAATGCTTTGACTGGTCAAAATAGCCTCCGTTAAGTACCATGATTACTGAGGGTTGGATCCGGATGCTCGAGGATCACCGTGTTTTGAGCAGCACTCTGTACATGGCGAAGCCCAGCACTGCAAACACTGTAGCGCCAACACTCGCTCTCAGCCAGAATGTCGAGCTCTTCAGATCTGCTTGGCTTACGTGTCTGTTAAACAGAGAGAAGCAGGCCCAAGACACATAAATACCGAGACGGAGAGAAGGGAAGGATGGCAAAGACTGCAGAGATGAAAATAGCGATGACAAATAAATGGATAAATGAAGACGGAATCTCTGCGTCATTACTCATAACTAGGACAGAAATGACTGATCATCTCCAGCGTGACTTTGTGCACAACCTAATGGAACATTCAAGCAAGCTTAAGTCAGTTCTCTTAACCTTGGATCTCTAAAATAAATGCGACAAATGGCAGCAGGACAAAAAAAGGAATGTGTGAATAAATAAACAACATGAAGAAAATATAAATGAAAGAACAAGCCGGGAAATATGGAAATGCTGAAGCAACAGTCGAACAGACGAGGGACTTGGAGGATTGTAGTTATGACATGAGGCGGCAGGACCAGAAATGAATTATGACAACTCTTGTTACAGCGGATGAGACGACTGAGGCGCAGTGACAAAGAAAGCAACACCAGCGAAGCCGATAGCAATCGAACAACAACGGGATTGAAATCAAACAGGGGAAAAAAAGGCTTACAGTCATTATAAAAGGAAACTTGCGAGCAATACCAGGATTAAGAAAGTATACAAAGATAGGAAGCTAGAAGAGAATGAAGATAAAGGACTGTTGAGGGAAAAGGACACAATCAAAGGAGTCTGACAACATGAAATGCACTTGGAGGAAGAAAGTAAGAAGTTAAAAGAAAAAAACTAAGAAAAGTTTTTGAAAAGATGCACCTAAATGCAAGCAAAACATTAAGTCAGTCAATATATTTGGACATTACTCCATGTATCAACACTGAAAATAGCACATTACTGCTGTAGAAATCAGTTACTTTACTGCAGATTTACATAGTACTGAGAATTTTTGTGCTTGCAGTCACGAGTAGAGGTTTCCCACCCTCTGCATTTACCGAGAGGAATCACATCCATAAGGACGAATTTGCAACAGCCTGCTGGGATGAATCATTACAAGGACCAACGACACAAAAGAAAACAGCTGAATGAAGAAGAAGAAATGAATGAGAAAGGGCAGCACGCGGCGATGACGGTGACAAAGATTTTTTAAAAAAGAAGAAGAAGTTTGTAAGAGACCTTCTGAGCACGACGGCGTAGAGTTTGGCCCTGACCGTCTGCAGCAGCTCAGAGTTGAGGAAGTTCTGACACAAGCAGAATGTGCACCGGTTACAAGTGCACATGCAGCGCAGCCGGGCGTGGCTGAGGAGAGAAGACACACCCACACACACCATAAAACACACACCAACACACAGCAGGATTCACGGACAGCAAATTGGACACACACAGGATACAGAGGGGAGAGAAAAAAAAGAGTTGAAATAGGCCACCACCATTAACAGAGACCTATGTGGCTCATCACAGGAGAGGCAGGTCGACAGAGAAAAGCTCAAATGTTTCTCTGGTGAGATATTTTCAGAAAGAAATATGGAATCAACGTCACTAACCTCTTAAATGTTATTTAAACTTTGTACCACATGAGCAACACAAGAAAGTTTAAAATAAATGCAAACAAATAATCCCTTTAGGAACTACTTCTGTATTGTATGGACCACCAAAAAAAAAAAAAAAAGAGTCAACTGACCAGAAACGTTTCCCCGCAACAGGTCAGAACAAAAGAAAACCTACTTTATAAAACAGTGAATTAACAAAAGCATGTCCCCAGATTAAATGTTTGAATCCGTGATTGGCTCTAGACTGAAATCTTTGTGGGATTACATAACTGCGTGATCTGCAGTGAGGTGATTTGTGTTGACAGTAAACCGAGTGTGAGCCTCTGGGAAAGATCAACGTTACAGCTCATCAGGGAACCCATGTACCCACAGAGTGAAACTGTGGCATCAGACTAAAGGCAACATGTCCAGAGGCCACTGAAGCGCTTTAATGCATCTAGAGTGAAGAGCATCATGTCAAATACTGACACTTACAGAGAGTGGGAACATCCCCACAGGGCCTGAGTTTATCCTGAGACAGGGGGAATCACACAGCTCTGTGTTTAAACTGGTGGAAGGTGAATCCTAACTATGTGGATAAAATACCAGATTAGAAACAAACGGGCCACTTTCAAAAAAGAAAAGCCTCCTATTTACAGATTTGCTTCTGCAGTGGGTCACTATTGGCAGGAAATCCTCAAGAAGCACAGAAAACACGATTCAACCTTTAGATTAAAAATCACTCCAACAGCAGAAAACAAGCATTCAGTGTCTGAGCTACCTCCTGATCTCAGGCCCCAGCAGCCACTAAGAAGAGAAAATTCTGTTTGGATCCATACTGGGGTTTTACAGGATGAGCTGGCCGGTCCAATTTTCCATCGACACGGGGGATATATAAACAATGTGATATAAAGTGTGATGGAACACCTCCTAGCACCAACAGCTATACGAGCAATTATGCAGTGCAGTGTAGGATTTATGAAACATTTTGTAGAAAACGACCAAGGCTGTAGATGCAGTTATCAAGTTGCATTTTCTTTTTTTACGGTAATCGAAGCAAAATAAAAATGGAACCTTTCTCTGGAGGGTGACTGTTTGTAGTGATCATGTATCATGTGTAAATATTATTAAAAGCAGGTTCGCTTTGACTATGATGCAACAATTTCAGAACATATTAAATCTGAAAGTTGTACCTCATGAGAACAAAATGATAATTGTGCAATACGCTAAACAAAAACCCACAAGTCCTGTCTTTTGAATGGCACTGGAAGAGGGTCAGATAAAATGAGGCATTTTAATATATTTCAGAGCTGTGAAGCTACAGTTGTAGTTTGCTTTCATTAAGAAAGAACATAAAACTGAGTAGGAACAACCTCAATTCCAACTCCTAACACATTACTTAGAGTAACTGGAATTAGTTTAATCAATAAGGATCTTAAATCTGTGCACTAATGTAACAATGAGCCCAGTGCAGCTGTAACACATGTAGATCAAGGTGGTTCATTAAACGTGCATACGTACGGGTACATGGCCATAGTGGTCAGTTTGGTGTAGATGTCTCTGCTGGGAGCTGCTGCCGTGTTACAGGTGAAGGACTGAGGAGGCGGCATCTTGTGCCTGCGACAGAACTCCAGAGGACTGCAGCCGTACATCTGCTTGATCTCAGGCAGGTCTGACTTGGCTGCGATCATCATACATGGCGTCTTGCTGTCCATGAAGTATTGCTGAAGGAGGGAGAAAGAAAGAGTGAGTCATGAATGATGAAGGTGGACAAATGTGTGTTAAGTTTAATATTAGATTTTTGAGTCTCACCTTGAAGACTTTGGCGCAGTACTCAAAAGAGTAAGGGTTGCTGACATCATAGACCAGGCAGACAATGTCACAGGCCAGATCAGCATCAGACAGGTAATCGAAGTCAGGAAATACTTCATGAAGCTGTCGAGGAGCAGAGGTTCAATTATCGCCGCTTTAAATTCTGAGTTAAAATGCAGTGATACAGGGAAACTCTGTAGTGTTTCAACCTCGGTTCCACGTGTTAGTCATAGATGTGACACAATCCGGATTTTTACAGCAGTTGCCACCGTTATTATTATTCTCTACAGTCATCCGCTGACACATTAGAAGACGATGGAGGAACCACAGGCTGCTTTCGCCAAACACAAGGCACATTTTCAATTACTGTACAATTTACAACATGTCAAAAAGTATGAGTCAGATTCTAACGCGGAGGATAATTAGCAAAGAGAATCACACAAACTATCCCATGATATTAAAGGCTGTCTATGAGTGCCGAGAGAATCAGAGTCACGATGCCGTACAGGGTTGTACCGAGGAGTGCAGCTGATGCGTTAAAGTGTTTGAGGAAAACAACATCAGGCCTAAATGTGGTAAGCAGTGCAATACTGTTTCAGCTATTGTGGTGTAATTGATAGGCTTCTAAAAGCAGCCTTCCATCATGAGGATGCTCAGCATTTCGCCTTCACAACCACACAGTCATGTTCTGTTGTTGCACATTATAGGAACACATAACATAACACACACGACTTAAGAATAGGTAGTACAACGCTAATGCTTTTACTGAGTGTGTAGAAATGCTTGCTGGACAATAGCATTAGATAAACGCCATAAGAGGCTTACATTTACAGCCAGGTAAGCACAGCAAACCTCAAGCCGGACCAGCCTTCATGGTTTACAGCACAGATTAATACTTAGTGGTACACATACTGTCCGGACTAGAAGTACTGGGACAGGTACACCTTTTTTTCTGTTTTTCAGGCTCTGTACTTCAGCACATTCAATTTGAAATAAAATAATGGGTACTACATTAAAGTAGGAAGTCTCAGCTTCAACTACAGTAGTAAATAGTGAAAGGACGGAGTGGGAGATCGAGTGCTTTTAACACATAGTGCCTAAAGTGTTGCTATAATAAGCAATGTTAAAAATGCCAGTGATTCAAGAGACATCGGTGTTATTCTGGACACTCACAAGAAGGTATTTCTCCTGGCCATAAACATAGGTTGTACTGATGGCATAGTAGGATCGGTGCTCTTCTTTGACTGTTTTTTGGCGCTGGAGAAGAGAGAAGAGACGATTACATAAGTTAAATCAGGACGTGAAGTAAACTGTACACGTAGCAGTATACTTGTACAGTTGAAAATACTTTTATTAAGTTACTAATCTTTTATTAGGATACCTTTGCTTTATGTCATGTACTGCAATGTTTTTTTTTTTTAGGTCAAATGCTGTATGTTCATTAGCAAAGCAAAGCCTGCAACCTCATTCATGCAGCAAGAGTCTTGTGCAACACTAACACAACAAAGTCCCCTCACTGCATTGCACATCCAGAATACCTTTCTAATACTGGTGGTGGTGTACTTAAGTCATCAGGGCCCTGACACTGCTGCTGACAGCAGCGCCAGTTCCCCACCCACACCCTTGTGTTGCTTTCCCAAGTAGGAGGAGCTGGTGTTGTTGCTACTAAATGCACCTTTGCATTAAACTCAATATTTTCAAGCACTGTACTTAAACACAGTTTTCAAGGGCCTGCATTGTACTTGAGTATCTTTATGCTACTTTCTGCTTCAAAAGGAAATAGTCTATGTTTTAGTTCACTACATTCATCTGGAAGTTGTCGTGATTTTACAGCATGTTAAGACCTTTAAAAAAAAATTATCAGGACATACGATTCAATTAAATTTAATACAATGAATTGTTATGAATTCAGCCACCTGCCCGTATAAAAAAAGTAAATTAAATGAGTTCTACCTCAGTCAGATACAATATTTAAATGCTGCTTGCATGTTATTGCATCAGTAATAACAATTCATTATTATTATTGTAAGGTATAACTTTAAAAATAAAAAGTGACAGAACCCACTCTGGTGTGGGATTAGTACTTATTTGTACATTTTGCTGTTAAGGTTTAATATCTAAGACTTTGTACAAGTAACTAAGTGTGGTATGGCTACTTTTACTCAAGTAAAAGATCTGCGCACTTCTTCCACCACTGTTTTCCTTGTGAGAAGTGATGAGGTCATGGCCTGAGATGCTAAACATCACTGCTGCACACACGCTACATTTACATAACAATCTATTCCACATGTGTTGGCTGACTGCACTTGTGTTTATTTGTACTCACCATGAGGTTTCTACCCAGGAAGGATTGGAGGAAGCCGCTCTTGCCGCTGCCAATGTCTCCAAAGACGTTACAGCGGAAGACGCTGCGCTGGGTCTGCTTCTTCTGCAGGTCAATCTTCTTATCTCTGGTCACTGCGGGGGGCAAACCACACACGGGTATCAGAGGATCAGTTTAGACTGCTGCTATGCACAACACAAGCGAGTCAACAACAACACTCAGATTGAACTGCCAGTTGGACTGTGCAACAGCTTATGTTACGAAAGAGGTGATTAACTGCAGTGGTCACTGACCACACGACTGCTGAGTAAAATAGTTCAATAAAGCAATTTCCCCAACAAGACAATGAGCTCAGCAAACTGGGTAATAGTCGTGGCTCCAACGTCACAGAGTGCAGCAGCATCAAAGGCATTAATCTGATATCGCCATCAGTTTTATGTGCATCTACAACTCTTAATTTCTGCTAATATTAATATAAAAAAGATGACGCAGTGACGCAATTCACCTGTAATTCCTGCTGCTTGGGACTCCTGCTCAGCGATTATTGAATAACCAAGGTAGCCTAAATACTCCAGACATCGTTGGACATCCAGATACGTTGTTAACCTGAACAAAGAGTGAATTGAACATAAAACAAAAAAACTAAAGTGGGCGATTGTTTAAGTACAGACACCAATGTGACAACGATGACACTGTTTGATGTTGAACCAGAGAGGGAAATACATTAAATACTTTAATAAAATGAAAAAACAAAAATCTTGATTAAACTAACTTGTACATTCAAGCAGTTGAAGCTTTTCTACAGTTTGTGTTAACAAATGCATTCTTATAGCACCTTTACACACAGAGTTCCAAATGTTTTGACAGAAAAAACAAAAGCAGGATACCCAGAAGGCAATATGATAACAGGATGGTAAAGCCAAAGTAAAGCAAGGCAAAATTAAAACAAGAAGACAAAACGCTGAAGCTAAAGCTTTGTATACAGCTTTTGTTTGAACTAAAATAAGAGAGTTGAACACAACATATGTTATACTACCGGCAGAGGGCTGCACAGGCAGAAACAAATCCTCACATAGCGGCTTGAATAAATGCCTACTTACGTCCACTGTGAGAGGTACCCCTGGTAGGTGATCCAACCCTGGTCATTAGTGCAAACTGTGTTATTGACATCTGGGCCCCAGGGCATGTAGGGGAAAACATCAAACAAATCCTTCAGCTCTTCTGGCGACAAGGCACAGTCACGGTCCTGAGAGACAGAAAAGTTACTGAGTGTTATACAGAAAGAACTACATCAAAATAAGGAAACAGGTGCTTGCAGGCAGGGATCATTTCCAGTGGTACTTAGGACATCAATGACTTTATTAGATTTTACATAAGGATTCTACTCGGTTAGCTGCCTGTCGTTTCTACCTGAAAAAAACCAAACATGATGGACTGAAGCACGCATTCACAGTTGGAGACTAATCACTACGACAGAAAGTAGATCGCGGCGTAAGCCCTCACTTTCACTCTCTGACTTTCCCTCTAACCTCCCACCTAAATCTGGTGTCAATCCCTCCTCAGTGGCAAGAAGTTAAATCACGCCTCAGCAGGTGGTCACCGTTGGCTATAAAGTGTATTTTGGTTTTCTACGGGGTCAGCACTGAGCAGCTTTTTGCAGGTGTCTCTTCGGGGTAGAGGTTAAAGTAAATACTGAACCACGCGCACAGGATTGTACCTTGTCATGTTTGTCAAAGACGCTCTGTAGGAAGAGGTAGGCGTTGTGGTTGAGCTCAGTAGTGCAGTCTGGGGGCACTTTCAATCTAGAGGGAGTGAAATATCACAATGCATGGTCATATTTCTCGTCGAAGACACAATCATGGTAAACATATGGAGGTGGATTAAGTAGCTACCAGTGGACACTCAGGATTTAATGTTACAAGGACACTATTATGTGTGAGGAAAATACACTAAACACTTTAGCATGTCCCACAGCAACGATGAGGTAAACGATTCAACAAAGGCTTTGTGAGTTTTGCAGTGCATCTTAATGGTGTGTTACAAAAGCAGAAGCAGGTTTTCAGAACAGTGAGGGTTGTTGCAAACAAGTTGGTAGCTGTTTGGATGTTTGAGATGACTCACGGAGGGAAGAGATAGTCCTGATTTAACTCCAGGTCATCATCGTACCCGAACCTTCTCAGCACCGTCCAGGTTGTTTCATGGCGGCCTCTCTGAATAAACAGCGTGTGGAGGAACAGGAAGCCTGCAGAGGAATAATACAGAAACACAGTGAGGGAACAGGCCGGTGTATACGTAAACATCAAAAAGAAGTCAGTCCATTCACTCCTACCTTGCAGAGTGAGGCCGTTGTCACACACGCCATCAATCAAATTCTTCCTCACCACATTTTTTACATCCTCTAACGCCTGAGGCTCCAGTGGGGTGTTGAAGCACGTCCGCTACGAGCAGTCAGACAAAAACATCATTGTTTTCAGACCTAGCAATAAGGTCACTGTTCACAGGAAAGGAAATGGATTCCCACCAATATTAAGAATCAATATTGTAGAGTTTGACTGAAAAATCTATATGTGTTGAATCTCTTGTGAAGTGTAATTTACAAAAGCCAACAGCTGATTTACCTGGAAGAAGTTGAGCTCAATATCATTGAGAATTCCATCGTTGTCCAGATCCGACACTTTGAAGATTCGAGTCAGAGCTTTTATACAAAGTGCTTTCATCTGAAAATAAAAGAGACAAATCAAAAGGTAAGTAAACAAAATCACTTCGCAAATCACTTTGTGCAAAGATTAATTTTCTTTTTGCTCTTACATCTTTTTTCTCTGGACAGTAGAGGGGACCTGTTGGGTGGAGAACTGCCTTTTGGGCGTAGTAGAACAGCTCTGAGATGTTCTTCAGGTTCTTTGCTGAACACTGTAAACAAGAAAAGGAAGAAGGAAACTAATATAAATACAAGCATGCTGTGCGTTTTTTTGTTGTTGTTGTGTACTTCTGTAACATATAGTCTATAATATAAACACCTTAACTTTTTTGCAACTCTGAAAATGTAGCGCATCGCTGCTTTAAATGTATGATGCCAACGGTGTCCGGACAAAATGGGCCATGGCTGTTTACTTGCCTGCCTGTGTGTGTGTTTGTGTCTGTTAATGCTGTATATATGTGTGCGAGAGCCGCTTTAAGTAGTTGCCAGACAGGGTATTAACACACAGGATCTGTCTGACCGACGCGCCTGGTCTAATTAACCAGTCTGAAAAAAACCACAGGTGATGCTCTGTTATGAGACACTCGGCGCTGAAGACAAACGCAGGGGAAGTTTAGCAGACAGTGAACTCAGCACAAACAGAAGCAAAACTCCAAAGGAGCAAGAAAGTTTTCAACACGAGGGACCTGATGTGCTAAGACACATTGGTTTTGCAGTTTGACTTCAAACTTGTGATCAGGGTCACTTATCCTCTTGTGCATCTCTTCCTATTATCGCTCAACAATTAATAAAACCAGGAAGTGGCTTATTTACATTTGTCAGCATTGCGTGCAGGAAATAGTGTTTGTAACTCCTCAGCATTCAAACGCTTTGAAGAGAACAGGAAATGTCAGGAAGCATTAAATGAGAAGCTAACACAAGGCTAGTGACAACACAAAACGGCTAGTTCGCTTAATGTGTACCACCTAAACAATATAACTCATTAGATTATCTGGAGGCTGTGGACCTTCACAGGTTAGTAGTTCTAAGTTTAAAATCCCATTAACTAGTCACACTGTAAGGGCTTTAGGTCATTTCTAATCTGTAGACATTCTGTTTCTGTGTTGTCATGATGAAAAAAACTCAAGGAAATTCTGAGATTTGTCTTTTAATACATATTTATATCAACACAATATTGGTGGAAAGACTGAACTATGCTGTAGTTAAATGTAGAGTTAGATAAACAGTTTTTAATCATTTTTTCTGTTCAGGATTTTTTGGGTGGAGCAGAAATCAAAGGATACACTATCCCCACACGTTCTAAAGGCTGGAGTGCATGAACATCAGGGGGTCTCCTGCTGAATCGCAAATTTACGGCACATACTAGCATCTGACAGTTTGCTAACCAGCTGTGCAAATCCATCTTCACTGGATGCCAAAATTCACAAAACAGCTTGATCTCCTTAATTGAATTTCCTGAGAATGATGAGATGAAAAAGAGATGGATTGATTTTGTGAAAGGCTGCGTCTAGAGTGACCATTTCACACCAAATAATTTTACTTTTGACTTTAATTGGAAACAGGTAAGACTCACAAACAGTATGCCATTACTGGTGAATCAGTCCACAGTCGCAAAGTGATGAAAACAATCTGCATCTACAATGTGCACTTGTGATTTTACATCTAACTCATTTCATTCGGTTAAAAAGAGCTCAGGTCTGTGGTGTGACAAACTCAGAAATCTTTGTTCTGTTATGCTGCTTTAGACTGCCTTTAATTCCATTACGTGCCTTCAGCTGACAGATAAAACCTGTAAAAGCACATCTGACTAAAAGTTTCTGGATGCTAATCTGAAAAAACAACAAAACAATCCTGTTCCCTCTTGGCTCATGCAAAGTTGACAGTTTCCAAGCAACGGTTAGTGCTGAACTGCTGTCTTTCCCTCTTTGTGTTCTGTTTAACGACTACAAAATAAAAAAGATATTGATTTCCATTTGTTGTTGTGCCCCTTTTGACCTCTTGTTGCCTTGGCAACGCATCTGTGCCAGTCTGTCGTCTGAGCCAATAGCGCTGCCACTACATTAAACAAGAGCGAGTATTTATGAGGAAAATCAAAACAGATTAAATGACAGCAATTGCTTCCACTCACCCTACATTAATGTTATTGTTCTACCCTTGAGAATCATCAACAGTAAGCAGAACGGTCGCTCTCTCACCTCGACACACGTCTCTATCTCACTGTACTGGTTCATAATGGGTAGAATGGTCTCCATGCTGCTGTGTTCCACCAGGTCGGACTTGTTCCCCACCAGGATCAGAGGAACCCTGGACACACCAACAACAAACATCACATACATGTTAAATTTACCAGACAACACACGCATGGTGCACACATGAAGCCGTACTTCTCTTTGCATGTATTTTTATATTTTTCCTCTCAGGAAAGCCGTGACTAATTTCACAGTGGCTGAATCTGCTCATGTGAAATGCAACAGTCCCACTGCTGCTCCCTGCTTACAGTGAAGCAATTGTGAGAAAAGTCACCATGTGACTGTAGGTCTCCACTCAAAACACGAGAGGAAATTTCCACAGCTGGCAGAGAGCGGCATTTTGCAGACTTTACTCTGGGTTGAGTTGGGACTGGGAGCTTCTTGAGCCACACTGAACACTAAATTACATTTCCATTTTTTTTCTTTTCTTTTCTTTTCTTTTCGTGCAAAACTGAGCTGACAGAATAAACTCAGACTATTTTTGTTCAAGGACAAACCTGCTGTCCTTATCTGTGTTCTCAGTAATGAGGGGGATCCAGTGGCTTGTCACCTATAAAAACAAAGGTGGACACGAAAAAAACAATATTACAGACTTTCACTATTTTAAGTAACATCTCTTCATTTCTAAGTAACACATAATCATACAGACAGTCTCACGTGTCAAACAGTTTATATACTAACATGCAAACAAATAATGGAATAAATGGAAATTCTGCCTGTAAAGTTAACTCACCTTCTCTATGGACTTCTTGTTGTTGACAGAGTAAACAATGCAAATCACATTTGCCTGTGGAAGAGACCAACACAGAAACCTATGAGGCTTTTACTTGAACTCAAACATGCATCATCAGCAATGTACGGTGCACGGACTGACCTTGGAGATCTCCTGAAACAGCTGCTCATCTGTCTGCTCTGCCTCTGTGGAAGGAAGGTAAATGTAGTGAAGTAAAAACGAGGGGAGTGTTGTTCCATCTCAATTTAGTTAAGCAACAACACAGCCATGTTTTAAAAGTACCTGAATAGTCCACAATGTGCGTGGGAACCCTCTCTGGTGTGACATCTGCAGGTATAGTGATCTCCTCAGCTCGGTAGGGAACCTGGAACACACACAAGTTGGACACACTTGTTTACAACTGGGCACAAGGCTTCAATGTAAAATCAACGGGGTCAACTCTGAGGGAAAAAAGGTCAACAGTGTACAGGAGACTACAGGAACAACAGAAACTTAAATACCCAGGCTCCAAAAAGGCAGACGGTCATTAAGTTTAATAATAATTTAACCATACCACGTCTGGGAACTCCTCGCTGACCAGAGACATGATGAGAGACGTCTTCCCCACCTTGGCTGTGGAGAAAAGGAAAGACGGTTCAGTGAAAAGCCTTTTTTTTTTGGTAGATCTTATCATAACCGGATTTACACTGGCTCACTTACAGTTAATGCGAGCGTGTCAGCTGGACATTGGGGACATAATTTATTCATTCAACATTAAAATAATTTCCAGTGAGCTCAAAGGGACGCTCAGGCCGTGTGACTGGGACACAGATGTCACATTGTGTACATCACAAAATCACAACTCTTCATCATCCTGCAATTCCAAACAGAGTTGCAATGATTATTAATTATTAAATTAATCGCCAACTGGTCCAGTGACCGTTTCTTCTGTATTTTTTTAAGCAAAAATTCTCAGATTTAAGCTGTTAAATTTTTAAAAATGTACTAGTTTCTTTTCTCATCTATGACAGTAAAATGAAAATCTGTGGATTTTGGACTAAACAAGACGTTGAAGTATGTCAGCTTAGGCTTTGGGAAACACTGATCTACACTACATTTTCTGGCACCATTTTCTGGATTAATGAGAAAATAATCCAGCGAACTGCAAACCTGCCACGAACATGCAAAATTACTGCTCTGGTAATAATCCTCCTAAAGTCTATGATATTCAAAGAATTCAGTGAAAAGCCCAATGGGTAGACATCACCTGGAGTTTCAAAAAAATCTCTGAGCACTGACATGAAATGACATTTTATCAGCTTCTTGAGCCTGGCTGTGGTTTTTTAAAACCCATCTCTGCAGAGTGCATGACTCCAGTGAAGTGTTCAGGTGATGCTGAGGCTCATGGCTGTAATTGTGCTCAACATGCAAGAGGTTATTTGAGGTTAGCTGAATAAGGGGACAGAAAACATCTATTTGCTGCTCCACAAAGCCACAGCAGACGTTGAAGATGCGCTGCAATAAACAGGTACAACCCATTTACAACAAACAATGACAGTATTTTGAGCCGACATGGAGACGGACCACCATGGAGACGCTGCTCAGCATCACATGCCCAGCTGGCCGCATCAGCGCGAACCGAAGCCAGAGCTGAAGGCTGACTCCGCAGACACACACACACTCACTCAGCTTTAGCTAGCGCAGCTTTACTACTTACGCTCTCCCACTAATAAAATCCTCACGTCCTTGCGCATCTTCTCCGGCGTCGTCAACCAAGTCGGCAAACCGGTCTGTGTGCAACATTTATGCTCCGGTCTGGATGAAGGGTACGGCCAGAGCCAGCAGCTCTCCCTCGGCCCGGCTCGCTCGCTCAACGGCTACGTTCGCATCACGAATCCGGTTCGCGCTGGTTCGGAACAGACGGTAGAGAACAAACCCGAAGATATCCAGAGTACCGACGAGGTGTGTTTATTTTTTTATGACTGTGCTCTTCAGCTGCCAGATACAGTCAGTCAGTCAGGCAGTGGTGCTGCTACTACGACCAGCCAGACAGTCAGTCAAACTTGACTAGCTGCCGGAAGCTAGCATGGCTGCTGGCCGCCCCGCCCCTTCAGCTGACCGGGAGAGGCCGAGCAAAGGTCCTGAAAGGATGACGGGAGACCCGCACCGAGCCTGGATTAACGAGGCCGGAGAGACAGGAGCGTAATATTCATTAACATTAAAGTCATATCTTTTTAATAAGAGTATTTATTTTATTGCTATTTTATTATTTATATCACCTTTTAGCTTTTTTATTTATTAGACTGTGACCATATTAGCGGCTATAAAGATGGCGTCAAATGAAATTTCATAAAGCTTCTTTTTTAATTCATTTTTTAAATATTCATATTTACATTGTCTCTAAAAAAATAAAGATCCCGCCCCGTTTTTAACATTGAACCGTGGTCAATTTATTTTTTTGTTTCACAAGGATTTCCCCCTAATAAAGACTCTTTCATGTCAAAGTGAGAGCTGATTTTGACAAAGTAATGCAAAATGATTAAAAATATAAAACATAAAACAGGTGATTAAGTACTCGCCTCCACAATAGACTGTCCTGTTGCTATTACTCAGTCCTGTTTCTCTTTATATGAGCAACAGAACTGAGTTTTTAGCACACAAAAAAAGCAAATACATGAAATATAGCCACATAGCATCTATGCTAACAGCACACTTTAGTGATTTATCAAATATTTGTGTGTTTTAAAATAAACAAATGAATCTAAGAATTATTTTAGGTAACAGGACAGTACGATAAGGTTGACCCTCTGAGTCATAATCACAATATCATCAAATATACAGAAAAGAACATGAGAGAACCTACCTTAGGTCTTCCCGTGAGATGAAGCTGGTAAGTATCTTCTTTAGGGATTCATTCTATACAGTAATGATAGTAAACACTAGATCTTCAATTCTTTTGGACATTTTGTTATTTGCTTTTATTTTTGCTGATGTCTGCCTTCATCTGTGCCAGCAAGGTTTTAAAGGGGATGTATTTTCCCATGAAAAGGAAAGAGAACAGTAAAAGGCTTTATCATCGAGGCAACACACCTTATCTCCATAATGAAAACCAAGTCAATTAATGTCAGAAAAGGACAAAGAAATAGTGAAAAATGAATTGCACAGGGGGCTGCAGGGTGGCGCAGTTGGTAGCACTGTTGCCTCACAGCTAGAAGGTCGCCAGCGTCCCGGTGGGGGCACCAGGATCTTTCTGCGTGGAGTCTCCATGTTCCCCCCGTGCAGCGTGGGTTCTCTCCAGGTTCTCCAGCTTCCTCCCACAAAGTCCAAAGACATGTTGAGGTTAATTGGTGATTCTAAATTGTCCGTAGGTGTGAATGTGAGTGAGCTTGGTTGTCTGTCTGTAAGTGTAGCCCTGTGATAGACTGGTTACCTGTCCAGGGTGTCCCCTGCCTTCACCATGAGTCAGCTGGGATAGACTCCAGCCCCCCATGACCGTAGTGAGGATTAAGCGGTGTATAGATGATGGATGGATGAATTGCACAGAGGTTTTGCTGTTTCCAGGTTAGAGGATATGAACAAATTAAAATTGCACATAATAAAAGTTACATCACATGGTATCCCAATGTGTGACAACCAAACTGGTTAACGCCCCAAAACTGTTCATCCCAGGTATGTATTAAGCAGCAGTGTATGGGAGCGATGTTGTTGTTGTAGCTCCGTCCTTTCTCAATTATGGAATAATGACATAGACAAAACAAAAAAACAATACTTTTTTGTATTGCCAAGAGAAACAGAAACAAGAAACCAAAGTTAAACTGGACAATTTGGTTGAGTTTTTGATTTTCACACATGGGTTAAACGTCCCCGAACAACCTACCCAATGTCAAGATAAGACTTAAGTTATTACATATGTCAAGACACATTTTGAAAAGATATTTGGTGTTGCTCACTCACTGCATATCTATAAGTGCAAGATACTATTTACTAATTGATCTGCTCTGACAGTCTGTGGCCACCAGATGTCAGTGTTCACATTCTACTAAATGGAAAAATAAAAGGGGTCATTTTCTCACCTTTGACAAAAACAAACAATCAAGTTGCATTTGGAATAGATAAATATACACCTAAAAAATAGGATTTTTATTGTTTCTGTGTTGTATGGATAGAATTAAAAATGAACAATGGAGGTGTTTTTTATTTCTAGTGCTGACCTTCAATGTACATGGACCTGACTAGCAGGTAGTTTGCTAAACATATCTGAACATTTTGTACTGAACAGGCCACAACAGCCTTCTTTAAACATATTTCTTTGGGCACAACACCAGGGCCATGTCAAAAAAAATTAAAACTCTGATTCACAATTCTGATGAAATTAATCCACAGAAACTGGAAAGGCCTTTTTGAATCAACCATTATAGTGGCTCACTAGTTCAGCAGACAGCTAACACGTACTTAAATATAGAATCCAGGTTGAATTGGTTTCAGTCCTTTTACTTGAAGAACTGTAAAACTAAACACACAGAAATAATACATCAGTCACAATGTAAAAATAATGACTAACATAAATTCTGCGTGACTTTGCATGAAATAAAATGCACTAGCTCGATGCTAACTTATATAAAAAAACACATAGACATGCTAACGATTAATGGTTCTCTATCACATCCAAAATATATTTTTACATATTTCTTGTAACTGTTAATCCATCAAAATGTCATACACTTAAAGGCAAACACTTGAACAAGCCTGACAAGAAACGACAATGTTCATCGCTTCATTCATTCCAACGAGTGACTGCTGAGCGGTTGCTATGGCAACACTATCGCAAGAACAAATCATCAGTTCTCAATAGAATAAAACTCAGATGTTACAACTAGACAGCACAGCCATTCATACTGGAAACAGTTTAATGGCTAAAACCCTTGTGTTCCAACAGTAGACCAAAGTTTCTCTCCATGTTGTAACATCAGAGAGAACAGAGAATGTAGTGTCAGCAAATGATCTCTACTCCTTGAAAAACTTCTTCATTAATCTCCTTTTGCTTCTTATTTAGCTTGTCTTCATCTTCTCTGTTCTTCTTCTCAAGTTCCTCCGAGTCCTCCACCTCTCTCTCTTCACTGTCCTTCCTGTCTTCCATTGCACATCCCCCCATCTCTCCTTCCTTGTCCTCCTCTGTCCTGGTCCCTCTTCTCCTGTCTCGCAATATGCAGGGCAGACAGTTTGCTAGGAAGAGGGCAGCAGACAGACAGAGCAGAGAGAGCACAGCGCCTACACCAACCTCCAGGTCTTGAGCTCCCTCTGCATCCTCCTCCACCTTCCCTCTCTCACCATCTTTCTCCTGGCTTGGGGGGAAGTACATAGTGCCCTCCTCCAGTTTGGGCATCAGCACAGCTCTTTCCAAAGTGGTCTGACTGATCATCTCTCTGTTGTCCACCTCATTCCACTTTCTTTTAGTCACCCTCTGACTGATTTTCTCATAGTAGTCACTACCACTGCTCACATTTCCGATTTCATTCTCGCTTGATGTGTAGATGTCACTGTATGATTCAACCAGCTTGTCTGAAATGCTCGTCTCAAACTCCTCGCCTTCCTCATTCTTCATTTCTACTGACTGCTTAAATCCAAGATCTAGATTGACTCGTATCCATCCAGATCCACTTGCCAGCTTCCTGGTGCCTAGTTTTCCTTTGAAGTTCGCCCACTCCCTGCTGCCTTCATGGATAGAGTTGGAGGTAATTTGCTTGTCAGCACAGACAGAAACCAAAACTTCTGCTCGCAGTAAAGGCCCGCCTCCATCGCCCTGGGCGAAGATGCGTTGACTGGGACTGGGTTCCACCACAACCACGGTCTCAGCCAGTGAGGACAGATGCAGGACAAAAGGGAGGTCACTGAAGGTGGAGAGCAGGGAGGCAGTGTCGTCGCTGAACTGGAGCCAAACACTGATGGACGCTTCCTGCAGAGACAAAACAGGACTTACCTGTAGTTTATAGTAAAGCCTGTAGTTTGACTAAATTTGATCTTATTTTATTAAGAAGACTCTATATTTTCTAAACGGGGCTGCAAGGTGGGTTGGTGTTTAGCACCATTGCCTCACAGCTAGAAGGTCCCCGGTTTGCGTCCCGGTGAGGACACCCAGGATCTTTCTGCGTGGAGTTTGCATGTTCTCCCCGTGCAGCATGGGTTCTCTCTGGGTTCTCCGCCTTTCACCTACACACTTGGGTCGTGGGGGGGCTGGAGTCTATCCCAGCTGACTTAGAGTAAAGGCAGGTTCACCTGGACAGGTCACCAGTCTATCACAGGGCTACACTTAGAGACAGACAACCAAGCACACTCACATTCACACCTTTGGACAATTTAGAATCACCAGTTAACCTCAACATGTTTTTGGACTGTGGGAGGAAGTCAGAGAACCTGGAGAGAACCCACACTGCACGGGGAGAACATGGAGACTCCTCGCAGAAAGATCCCGGGTGTCCTCACCGGCGACCTTCTAGCTGTGAGGCGACCGAGCCACCTTGCAGTCTGAGTTTCATATCAGCTAAGGTTTAAATAAAAAACACAAAAACTCATTTGAGTTAGATTTGCGGCCTTTGTGGCTACATTTATCGATTATATGCTTATGAAGACACATTTGTATGGTTTGGAGCAAGTTAGAAGGGTTTTCTTATCTCCAAAAACCACTGCTCTAAACTCTAGTTGGTTACATGACACACTGATAAAATATCCAAAAAGCTGCAAAATACTTCACTTTTAGGGCACATTTGTTCAAAAATAAACATTTTTAGCAAAGGAAAAGTCAAACAAAGATCAAACCCAGAGGAATATTTTAAAGCTGTAATGAGTCTATAGATGTCAAAGCATTATACTTTAAAAGGTGAGCATGTTCATTTAAAGTTGAATCTGGTCTTGTTTATGTTACTATACATTTTTAAATTCATAAAAGTACTACTATAAAGTCAGTCATTAAACATATCAGCAGTAATAATAACATCACTCCTTAACATGCTTTAGATTTTAGTAAAGGAACCCTGTTTCTAGCTTCAAGGAGTTAATATTTATTGAAAACATACAGACGAAAATGAGATAATAATAAAAAGTGTGGACGAGGACAACAATAATGCGCACTGGCCCATCAAATACGAGGAGCAGTAATGATGTGTCTTACTGCTTACGCAATGGGTAACAACAGTATTAGAGTGCTTCAATGCTGACGCATTAGCACATTATGCTTTACCACGTAAGCCATCATGGTGGACGTCACATGAACCTCACTTTTGTTATAATTTGAATGCCTGCTTTAACGACGAATCTACGCTGCCTACACTGAAGTGGCTGCTCTCTGACCTGGTGATGGTTGTACAGGATGTTGTAAGCTGTCACTGTTGTTGTGATGATGGAGGGGTGGGCAGAGCTGGCCATGACTGACATGCCAAGGCCGCTGACCACCTGTACAGACAAGTCACCAGGGGCAACAGCGTCAGGGGTCACAGTGATGTCACATCTGCCAAGAACACCATCCCACTGCTCAGAGATGATCTGACAAGGACATAGAGAGAAGATGCTCAAAAAATGAAGACGGAGAAGTGTAAAAGCTAAAAAAAACTACAGAAGAAGTGGAAGATGCACAACTATCATCTACATGCAGTGACGTCTTTCCTGGTCGTAAACCAATCACGGTGTTGTGAAGGCCAAGGGAAGCCACTCGGGAATCCTCCACTCTCAGCCAGTTACGGACCAGCTCCGTCACATCAACGAACCAATCTGATGAGCCCAGGAGATGTGTGGTTTTGCTGTGGGAGTCCTGAGCTGTAAACTGAGTCAGAACCTGGACAGAGGAGCGCTGATACACCGGCACACACCTGAGTAAACAGGACACACATGAGAAAGTAAAGACCTTTAAATATCTCCAGATCCCCCTAAGGAAAAGTGTTCCAATGGGACAATATCATGATCAAATGACATTTTATTTAAGAATGTGTAATTGTTAATACTGCAGTAACAGAGTGCTTGTGATGTTCTACATTTTCCAGTTACTTTCCTGGTTTTTTGTGGTTCCTTCTCACCAGACTGCTTGCTCGGAGGGAATCCAAAGGCAGGATTGCTGAGTTCTCTGTTCTTTGTTCATAAAATTTACCTTCTATGTGAAGTGCTATGAGATGACATGTGTTGTAAATTGGCGCTATATAAAAAAAATTGAATTGAATTGAACTGAACTGCACAATATCTTTGCAGTGTCAGTTGTTCGGGTTGTTTTTGTGTTAATACTGTGTGGCCTGAGCCTGGCTTTATGCAGACTATGCAGTTAAGGAGACATTGCAGGTATACACTGAGGCTCCAGTGGGTCTCATTATGTTGAGGAACACACAGACAAAAAACAAATAAAGAGACCATAAAGCAGAGTGAAGAAACAATAGAGCTGTCTTGTACCCTTTCTCTGTGAAGACGTTCCAGCCGTCAATAGCATTGAGAACAGGATCTGCTAAGGAAACTCGCAGAGGCACTGATGGAGCCCAGACTTCCAGACAAACAGACCCACGCAGCGTGCCCAGTAGAAACTCCACCACCGCACAGGTGCTTCCCAGCCCAGATTCGCTGCCATCGACAAAGAGGGTAGAGCAATCACTGGAGACCTGTGTGGAAGAGACTTCAATTACACAAGTAGTTAAAGGACATACGTACAGTATGTTTGAAGTCATTAAAGACATTGGATATTACTAGAATTATTTGTCAAATTGAATGTGCAAAAAAACATCACTTATCTAAGGACGTAGTTTTTTCTCTGCTTAATATAGCTTTATAGCCTCTTACATCTCACTGATTTTGACTTTACAGACCACCTCGTTCCCAGCTGAACCTGTTTTTCATGAAAATGCTCCACTAAATCCACTGTACACCACCTGCCCCGCAGCAGACACATGCAGTTAGAGCTCGACTAGTGAACTAACTGAAACATTTATCAAGAGGTGATATTATTTCTAGCCTTATGAGGTGTAAATATGTCAATTTACAATTCAAGTTCCAGTGATAAATCATAAAGTGGTTTGCATAGTGAGGCCAAAACCTTACAGTATAGAGAGAGAGCTTACAAATCCCCCTTGAGCAGCACTTGGTGCAATGGGGAGGAAAAAGTCTCTTATAACAGGAAGTAGCTTCTGACAGACTCAAGCACGCTGGCAATTTATCTCAACTGGTGGAGGTGAAGACAGAGCAAAAAGAGACAATATTGTGTTTATAGTATAGCATGTCCCCCTTGTGACAGAAAAATCAATTACAAGAGGTTCATCCAACAATATTACTCAAAAACTTCCATGACTACAACATTTGAGTAGCCTCTGTCCACTAGCAAAGGTTGCAGTATAACAGTATTTTTTTCTGTTAATTGTTTGGACTGGATCAAAACTTATTGATGCTTTTAGCACTTTTCCACAGAGCGACAGCTAAGTGTTTGCTCATTCCTGACTTTGGAAGTAGTCGCTAATTAAAAACAATATTCAAAATGTAGTTTCTCTGAGGGTGTTCTTGATGCCAAATGCCATTGTTTTACAGAGACAGTTGTTTCCAATAAGAAGACCAGACTTCCTTTTGTTACTTGATGACATCTGGACTACCTCAATGATGACCTGACAGCATCAATCTATTCAGGAAGACTGCAACAAGGATTTGAAAAGCTGAAGAAAACGCTCATAGCTGGATCTTAGTTAAAGTTTTTCGTCAAACTAAACCTGCACAGGACAAAGATCTGGTAGTATACCTAACCTAGTGTACCTGACTTTATTTTTTTCCAACAGCAGACAGATCTTAACAATGTGTGTTGCACCTTGATAGTGTTTTCGTTGGTAGAACGACAGGTGACTGCAGAGGTAACATCTGACATCTTCTCATCATTGCCTATGGCCAGAACAATTACAGGAAGCAACACCGGCTGGTTGGTCAGTATGGCTGTGTTGATGATTGTGTTACTCTAAGGACAGACGACAGAAAACGCACAATCAAAATCACTGCATGACATTATATGGCTATTTTAAGACTTGAAAGAATAAAGTACCTCTGTGATGGGAGCAATGCCAAAGATGTGTCGATCAGTGAAAGAGAAGACGCTCGTTGCTGTCCGATGTGAAGATGGGGGGTTATTATGGCCAGAGTACGCCACCCACCAGTTTGCAGACACTGTCATGGCAACACCAAAGCTCTGCCTCAGGCCGCTGACTGACAGACACACCACTTGCTGGAGTAGAGTGGGACTGCAGGCGAACAGAGATCAGACAGTGAGCTGCTCCGACATTACCATTCACTGCTTTCACCCAAACCACAGTCTCAAATCATAGAGAGTTTCTGCATAGAGAAGACATTGTTTTCCATTGTCATCTTGGTTACATAAGTCAGGCCCGTTTTATAAGTACTTTGAAAGCACTACTTCAAAAACTTTCTCTGCACCTGAACCAACTGGTAATTGGTGTTCTTTGTGTGCCCTGATGTAAACTGTCACACCAAAAGTATACAATAATTATGAGCTGTTTTTGAACAGGACTGACACTTATTGGTCAGATGAATCCATACGTTAAATCATATTTCTGACTAGTTCTTGCTCTGGACAAGCAAAAGACTTTTAAAATACCCATTAACTTTTGAAAGTTGTGAAACTTCTTTCCCTCTCTCCCATCATGGCCACAGCATCTGAAGGCCAAAGTTATGTGTGGAACTTTTTTTTCTTAAGTAAAATGAAACGTTTATAGGTGCATAATCAAGGCAATTCAAGTAACTGCAATGATAGGAAATCCCTTTCACAGTTCTCACTTCCCTTTGGAGACTAATTGGACATATTTTTGCAGTCATAATTTGAAAAAACTGAATGAATTACACGGGGCGATGCATTTAAGTTGCAAGGATTTACTGTTCTAAACAACAGGAATCATTTCATTCCACAATTTCCTTCTTAAATGACAAATAAATGAAAAGCACTGCTGTAAAATTAACAACACTAAAGACTGACCTACTACATGAATAAACAGGGCCATCTAAAGAAACCATGAGACAGAACAAAACAGTGCACATGTAGTGAAACCGTGAAACTGTAGGGGGTGACATGCAGCCTTAAAAAGAGGGATGACTGTTATGGTTCAGTGAGACACACTGAACTGAGCTAACGTTGAACTGTAGACCTACTCGTGAGATTGCTTCGCCACGCTGTGTTTTTGGCAGAGGATGGAAACCACATCGTGTTCGGAGCTTTGACTTCTCTCCAGGGTCACTGCCCACAGGTCAGAGGCCAGAGTTTTCTGTGCCACTATTGACACTAAGCCCCTCTTCACCTTCAAACTGAACACACACACAAGTACAAGAGTTTATTGGCGCTCATTGATTTAAGACAATGCTTTAAAAACATGAAAAAATGTTTGCACTAATGCAATCATATGATTACCTGATGACAACAAACTGAGCACTGACATTGGCTCTTAGATTTACAGAAACCCTGATTGCTTGTCCTATCAGGACCGGGCCCCTGTGATAGTGGATCACAACATGGGAGTCCACTTTAAGTTCCTCCTCGTCCTTCCTGTTCAAACAGGTTTCTTTTGTGGCTCTGCTCTGCTTTCTTTCCTTGTCCTCCTGCTCAATCAGTGTCACTCTCTTGATATGGAAGAGCTGTCTCTGGGACTGAGCCATTCGGTCCTCTGGACACCTGGAAGGAAGTTCAGTTAGAGACAGATAGATGTTGTTCAAGAAACCTAGAAAAACCTATAATACACCCAGTATGAATATGTGATCTGGATCTAGTTATATCATCTGGATACTGACATTTGATCCCCGGATCTTAGTATTTACAGAGAAGGTGCTCTGATTGTGCCTGTCTTGTGATCTAAATCTCAATGTGGAAATGAATTAGATGGGGATGGCTGGCAGAACAAAGAGTTCGTTCTAGGTCAAGAGAATCAATGATGCTGTATGGGTTCTATTTTATTTTACTGTTCACTACTTCTAGCTTTTGCTGGGCTTGCTCGAGATAGAAGTGTGAAGTGAGTTAAGTGGGGTTTGAACCTCTAGCACTAAAGATTGTTCTTCAAAATGTAGTCTCACTATGTAAATTGCATTTACACTCCAATCACAACGTGAGCCTGATCACCTTTAAATGTGACCTGGCTGATCTATGAGTAGTTGCTTAATGATTCCGACTGCGCGTTTCCATGTCAATACCAAATGTAAATGGAGGAAACAACAGTCAAGTCTGTCTGCACATTACTACACTGGAACATACCCTGGTGGTGATCTCAGCTTTAGGTCACCCACTGCGCTGAAGGAAGAGTAATACAGCTGGATTTGGTTTTGTTGGTATCTGGGGACCCGTGGACCAGTGACAGCAGAACTAAATCATGAAACGAGAAAAGGAAGAAACAAGCAAAGCAAGCATTCACTAAAGTGGAAGGCAGTCAATACGACGTGACAGGCACTAGGTACATTTCTATTAACCTTTAACCTGTTTTTGTGTGCATTTTGTGTCTACAAAACGTGTAATTGAAGATTTTAAATATTGCAAATAAGTTTCTAAGTTTGGCTGAGGTAGACAAAAAAAGCTGGCATGTTGATGATTGATGGATGCTTCCTCCCACCATCCAAAGACAGGCTGAGGTTAATTGGTCATTCTAAATTGTGCGTATTTGTGAATGTAAGGGTGCTTGGTTGACTGTCTATGTGTTGCCCTGTAATAGACTGGTGACCTGTCTATCATCCTATGTCAGCTGGGATAGACTCCGCCACACACTCCCTCCAAATATTAATGCAGTACGTATACTGAAATTAAATGAGTAAGTTCATTCAAACTAAAAGAATGAATGATCACCTCCGTGAAGAAGAAGCTGGTCGCTCACGGTTAACGAAGTTGCCATGAGGATGTTGGCCCTGTTGCCGCTTTTTCACCTGGCGACGAGGGTTGATGTCACTGTACCATTTGTCCAAACTTTGATGGGACTGTTGGGTGTGTTGATACTCAAACCAGCCATTGGGCAGCGTCAGAGTTACCACACACAGGCCTAGAGGAGGCTGGAAACAAGACAGTGACGAACTAAAGGAAGGAGAGGGAAATAGTGAAACGAATGAGTGAGAAAGACAGAGAGAAAAAACTGGAGATCATGGTCCTCACCTGTGTGATGCAGGAGGCTTTGTGCTCCTCTGTGTCCTTAAAAGCATGGAGGGTGATGCAGGTCCCTTGGTTACTGATGTTGCCTCGCTTGTGGAACAACACCCTCACCGTGAACCTCTCCTGCCCCCTCTCATCCCATTCTCTCTGAACATTCTCTGAGAGGAGGGTAGCGGACAAAAGGAGAGAGGGGGGGAGGACAGGCTCTGATATGAGCTGTGGAAAGACAGAGAGAGGTATGGAAGAAACTGTGCCATCTTCAGTCAACTCTGGGACAGTTCGTCTGTTCATGTCCTCTTACCTCTGAAACTGAGTAAGGGCCGAAGGAAGCCTGGAGGCTTGGTCTGAGAGTCTGGCTGAGTGGGGGGAGCATGAAAACATTCTGGGAGAAGGAGAAGGGGCTGGAGTTGGAGAACAGAGGGCCAAGCTCCACCTGGGAAAGAGGGAAGAACTGCCAGAGAGGAGGGACGACTGATATCTGGACTGGCAGGGAGAGAGGCAGAGGGGGCTGGAGTAGGGATGGAGAGACTGAAGGAATGGCAAAGGAGAGAAAGGAAACAGTTACAGAAGTGAGCCATATTAGACGGTCATAAAACCATAAACCTTGCTCCACAATAAGGAATAAAAAAAAGCAATCCTACCATTTTTTAAGTAATGGTCATTAAAAAATGATGTAGACCATTAAAGACAACTTTGCAGTAGAAACTGTTGTTATATTGTATTACATATTAAGGCCATAATGAAGAAATAATCATTAACCCACACTTTGTATGAAACCTGAAAAACGTTTAAAAAATAAAATAAAATCTAAAAAATAAATAAATAAATTTTTTTTTAAAAAGCAGTCCTGTAACATCAGGAACATCTTCTAGGAGAGGCTTTCCTGGTCCCTTGCATTGCCCTGGATTTGGCCTGTCATTTCACCTTACCTGGCACTGTAATGCATGTGCAGTTTGTTTCTGCTGGAGGGGTAATGTAATGTATTTATTTATTTTATTTGACCTTTATGTTACCAGGTAAAAATGTTTGAGAACCAATTCACATTTGCAAACATGACCTGGCCAAGAGGCACCAGCAGGAACAAATACACAAGTAAATTACAGACATCAATAGACACATAAATGAAATGAAATGAAATGAAATGAAAAATACTTTATTCATCCCAGAAGGGAAATTCAATTAAATAAATGATCAAATAAATGTAGCATAGAGCAAAATTAAACAAGTAAGAAGCATGGGAGCATATGCATGTGAGTGAAAAAAGATGTGCATGAGGTGTAAGAAAGTGTGTGTGTATATGTAAGTAAAGTCTGGCGTGATCAGCAGGAGCAACAGTCAACTACAATCTGTTGGATTTTAAGCTTGAAGGTGGTGAGAGGAGTCAAAGTTGCAAGTTTGAGCAGTTGTTAGCTGCTGCAAAGCAAAAGGAGTTACGGCCAAAATTGTAGAGATGTTGGGGATGATGAGCTTGATGTATTCACTGGACCTAGTATGATAAGAACTATGGTTGATGTGAAGAAGAGAGCACAGGTAGGGAGGTGTCTTGATCAGAACTGAAACCAGTGGGGAAGCCGCCGACTATAAAGGGAGAGCCACCTTACCAATTTATATAATAGTATATCTGGATGTACCTGCAGATTTGATCACATTACAGCTAGTATGGAGTCAATTGTGACCTATCATTTCAATTTCAATTTTGTTAAAATAGTGCAATTAATAACATATGTCATTTCACAGCGCTTAACATAGGAAGCTGAAGACCTTGTGAATTTTAAACAATCACAAGTTTTATTGGGATTCCCTCTGAGCAAGTGGTGGGAAGGAACCTATGCAACCTACAGAACTGGAAAGTGAAAATGTGAAACCTGAAAAATGGGCTTTTTAGTAATACATCTTGTGGCCTACTTTTGAAAATGAATGCTTGAAAACCACAAAAATTATATTGAGTATGTTGAAATGACTTGAAAATTATGTGAAAGAAATGATTCCTCAACATAGCAGAACAAAAGCAACACCAGGAAGTGAACAGCTCAGACAAATAATAATTATAATAGAGACTTACCTACTATGGAAATCCAAAAGAGCAGCAGCTCTGCTGTTCTTCCCCACCACACATCAAACCAGCTGAAACCTGCCATCACAACAGAGCTCCTGAAACACAATATGAATGACAATGAATGTGAGGTAGGTGAGAAACTCCTCAGTGGCATGGCGCCAGATGTGAAGGAGATTTGCCCTTTGTGATCTCAAGGACTGTCTGTGTCATAAGTTAAAGTTAAAGTTACCAGCATTCCTGTCTTGCACCATTTGCAGCAGCAGCACTTTTAACCATTGTAAATGTTTATATTCATCATTGTTCTCCATTAAAACAACCTGTTGACTGAAGCAGCTGCACACGATCGTTTCATTTTGTGCAGAACAGTGACACGTGATGCGTTGAACACCCTGTATGTGAACATGGACAGAGTCTGAGGCAGAAAGCCTGAGTTACCAACCGCTTGCTCAGAGGGAGTCTGAAGGCAACTTCGGATTGTTGGGTTCTCTGTTTAAATCTGTAAGGTCTATACTTTGAGATGCCATATGTTGTAAACTGTGCTATACAAATAAAAATGACCTGACTTGTGATACCCGTGAGCTCTGACTGAGTTTTTTTAACTGACTTGCACAAAGAAAGCCTGACTATGTCAAAGTAGCTTCATAGTGTACCCCTCTGGTCTCTTTGGTCATGTTGGTACGGTGGAGACTGTCCTGTGGTGACTGCTGGCCACAGTCAACCAAAGACGTTCACCTTGTTCTATCATGTTTTGTGTTCTCTCTACAGATCTTGCTGCTGTAACACTGAAGTACCAACAGAGGTCACTGACAGACCTCAAAATACTGCCACAGCACTATTTAGTGATCTGATCTGTGTTAGTCACATGAAATGCATGATTTACTAGAATGTCTTCCTCATGGCTGTATGACTGTCAACCACCGAAGCTACACATTACACCGAGACTCTTAGTCTCACACACTTGAATTGGAAAGCTCAAAAACCAGTTTTGTTAGTTGTTGTATATCGACCACCCGCCCCTTACTCTGAGTTTTTATCTGACTTCTGAGACTTTTCAGCTGATTTAATGATTGAAATCATTATTCTGGGTGAGTTTAACGTCCACGTAGATGACGTGAACGACAGCCTCAGTCCTGCATTTAGTTCATTCAACTGCTTTTTCTCAAAATGTAAATAAACCAGCTCACAGTTTTAATCATACCCTTGATCTTGTTTTGGCATATGATTGAACATATTACTGGGTTTTTTTTTGTTTTTTTTTTTAATTCTCTTTTGCCTGATCATTTTTATTAACATTTGAACATTTACAATAATGAAAGCATTTACCAAGAAGTTCCACTAAAGCAGATGTTTCTCTGATAAAGCAATAACTAAATTTAAGAAAATAGTTCCATTATTATTTACTTCAAAGCCATATGCCAACACAATGAAAAGCAGCTCCTCTAATGTAAGTCCCACACAGGTGGATCATCTCATCGATAGAACTGCAGCTTTACACACTGTTGCCCCTCTGAAAAAAAAAGGCAATAAACTATAGCAGAATAACTCCATGGTATCATGAACATCTGCACATCCTAAAGCAGACTTCAAGAAGACTGGAAAGGCAGTGGCGTTCTACAAATTCAGAGGGATTTTATCTAGTCTGGAAAGATAGCTGTATCACATATAAAAATGCTATTCGTAGGGCAAGAACTGCTTATTATTCATCTCTATAACAGGAAAAGAACAACCCCAGGTTTCTTTTCTGTACTGTAGCCAGGCTGACAAAGAGTCACAGCTCCGTGGAGCCTTGTGTTGCTTTAGTTCACAGTAGAAATGACTTCATGACATTCTTCAAAAACAAAAAAATATTAGACAAAAAAAAAATATGAACATGTCTTTAGGTGCAGCAGCTCTAGATGCATCCATAGGATCAGATTTATACTTGGACTGCTTCTTTGCTGCAAATCTGTCAGAGCTCACATCGATAGTCAGTTCTTCTAAACCAGCAACACGTCTGTTAGACCCCATCCCAGCCAGACTGTTCAAGGATATCTTGACACTCCAGCATCAGACATTATCAGCCTCTCTTTATTAACAGGCTACATGACACAGGCTTTTAAGGTTGCTGGAATAAAACTACAACTGAAAAAGTCTATGCTGGATCCAGGTGTTTTAGTTAACTGTAGATCCACATCTAACCTCCTTTTACTGTTGCAAGCCAATTATGTGATCAGCTGCACAGAAATATTTTTTAGACAAGTTTCAGGCAGTATTTTGAAGCATCATAGTACAGAAACAGCACTGGTGAGATACCAATGACCTTCCAATGGCCGCAGACAGTGAACTATTTTCTATACTTGTTCTATTAGATCTCTGCTGCATTTGATCCAGTGGATCACAACATCTTATTACGGAAACTAGAACATTTTATTGGGATTAAAAGAACCACACTAAACTCATATTTATCAGACAGATTCCAGTTTGTTCATGTTAATGATGCTTGTTTCACTCACATCATAGTTAGTTATGGAATTCCACGGGTTTCTGTGTTAGGACCAATATTGTTCACTCTGTACGTGTTCCCCTTAGCCAATACTATCAGGAAGCACTGCACACATTTCTATTGTTATGCAGATGACACCCAGTTATATTTCTCTACAAATGAAACCAATTAGTAAGCCAAACTTCAGGTATGTCTGAAGGACATAAAGGTCTGGAAGACTTGTAATCTTCTTCATATAAATTCAAACAAAACTGAGGTTATTGTTAGTGGTACACCTCAGAAACACACTATCTAACCAGATCTGGATGACATTGCCTTGGCCTTCAGTTCTACCGTGAGGAACCTTGGAGTTATTTTGGATTAGGATACGTCCTTCAACACATAATATATGAAGCACGTCTTTAGGACGGCCTTCACCTTTATAATATTGTCAGATTCAGGAACATCTCCATCTGCTATGAGATGACATGTTGTGAATTGGCACTATATAGATACAATTTAATTGAACTTAATATCTGTCCAGTTGTGTACATTGTGATGACCCCTGAGGTCAACTTGACGGTGACTCAAATAATCTGTATTTTCATGCAATTAGCTGCTTAATGTGATCAGGAGCACCTGTGGCCCCCACTGCATTCCTGGCTTACTTAAATGCTGGCTGCAGTCTCATCTCAGGCACCTCACACCCAGGTTTGGTAATGCTGTTAAGGTCACAGTGATCTTGACCGTTTGACCACTAGTTGCAGGGTTGCTTCTGCATTGTACAGCTCAATTGAGGACGAATTAAGAGAGCGTATTAAAGGTGTAGAACCCCTACGTAGCCTTGCTGCCAATTTGTCCAAGTAGCCACTTGCATTATTGCAACTCAAAAAAATCCCCTCATCCAAAAAGCACTTTCCCAGTAAGTCATCATTACAAAGAGATGGCTGCAAAACTGAACTGCTGACTGTGAGCAAGGTCAGATGTTACATTTGCTAATAAGACGTTTTATTCTATAGGAGGTTTCCTGTTGGTAAAGCTTTCCCATTGCCAAGACAAATGAGCTTTATTTTCATAAATGACAATGTAAAGTAGGTGGGGAACATATTGACAGAGAAATCACATGCAGAGTGGGTCGCACAACTCAGACGCGGGGCCAAAAGTGTGAGCAATATGGGTTCTCGTTGCTGTACGATGAACTATGCATCCTGATTGTGTGCAGGTTTGGTATCAGTGGTTGTCAGTGACCTAGTTATGACCAGACTTGCAGTCAGTGCAATGTTTGCATTTGCACATGTTCTCCCTCGGCATAATGAGTTTATTTTTAACTTCTACTAACAAGACAATACTTATTCAATAGGAAAACAAAGTCAATGAACATATATACAATCACTCATGCAGGACACGCCGTTCTGTGCAAGATCAAAGTTCAAAGAGAAAAACATCCATTTATCCATTATCTATGCACCGCTTCATCCTCAGTAGGGTTGCCAGGGGGAAGAAAGTCTATCTCAGCTGACTCAGGGTGAAGGCAGGGTCACCTGGACAGGTAACCAGTCTATCACAGGGCTACACTTAGAGACAGACAACCAAGCACACTCACATTCCCATCCATGGACAATTTAGAATCACCAATTAACAGAGCATTGGTGACACCTACACACACACACACACACACACACACACACACAGATTGCATGCCCGCTATTAACATGACATTGCACTGACTTACATTAGTTTC